ATATACCTTAAGCCGTCATTCATGTTAGGGTATAATCCTTGATTAAGGGATTTTTTGGAAGGTCTGGGTCGCTCAGCCACTCAGGAGATACTTCGGTCATCTTGACTACCTGTCGTCCGAGCCTTTCCATGAGAAATTAGTAATCTCAAACGCAGAAACCATGACTTCTGGACTGCTGTAAGTACTTGGGAACGTTTGAGTCTGGAGAGGCAGACGTATGTGAGCTTTATAAGAAATATGGTTCAGAGACTACAGTTTGCAACTTAGGAATCTGTAGTTATGTTGCGAACAGTTGCTTTGCTCGCATGCCTGTCTTGTAGAACCGTCCAGGAGCCTTCAAGTGCACCTTGACCTTTTAAGCTTGTGAGCTTTGAACCATCCCTAATTCCTGAAAGGCTCTGCAGTCTAAACTTGCCCTGAAACTTAAAGCCGACTTCCCATAAAACCCTCTGCAAAGCCGGGAAAATGGATCATGGCCTCCTCCGGCGACACTCCTGAATTCTTCCTCGGATCGAACAGACTCTCTGAAAGGACCCAGGGCATCGTTTAGAGGCTTGGAGTTTAGAAGTATAGGGCTTCAAGGATGATCAAGCGAAGACTGGTTTCCGGGTGCGGGAAAGGGTTGCCCAAGAAGAAGGGCTTAGGGTTTTTGGGGTCTGTGGTTTGGGGTGTGTAGGGTTTACGGTCTAGGTTTTTTTTTTTAAAGTGCAGTAAGGCCTTTTCTGCAAGAGGTCCAGCCGTTAGCCGGCTTGCACTTGGAACAGGTCAGCACTTTGCGACCCGAAAGAAAAACAGACGAACTGAAGCAGACCCACTCACTAGTCCACCACCTCAAGGCCACGTCTGCGCACAGAGAGCACCGGAGTAGGAGTCGCACGGTGCCCAGAGAGTGCTGACGACGAAGCCGGCAGAGAAGAAGGGGCGCCTGCAGAAGCCACAGGGTCACGGCTCCGACTGCGTTCACGGAGATGGCGTCGCCGAACAGCAGGAGCTTCATGATGGCCTTCACGATGTCCAGAACGAAGAGCACCTGCAGGTAGTAGTTGGTCACTCCGCGGCGTTCGTGAGTCGTGAGGAACAGCATCAACAACATCACCCAAGCTTGCTTGAGGCAGCAGTATCGGGGGAGGACGAGGAGCATGTAGACGACGACGATTGCGCGGCATGCGGCGGTCTGGCGGCCTTGGTGGAGACATTCCCGGTGGTAGGTTGCCTGGCGGAGTACTCTCGTCAGTCTGGATGAGATACAAGACCTGGTCGTCCTCAGCAGGCCACCATCCCTCTGGAACTACATGACCTCCTTGAACGTGGATGGCTCTGGCATTGTGACGCCAGGCACGTCTGCGGAGTCCCACGATTGTATGAGGATCCATATGCGGGAGTGTGTTCCAAAGACTGCGTAAGTCCGGAGGAAGTCCCGGTTGGAGGAGGGCCGCTGCTGTGTTCGTCACCTGTGTGGTGCCAGAAGACGAACTACCTATCCCGAAGTTTGCCTCCTGGTTGACAGTGCCCCATACATGCATTTCCATCGTAGGGGAGTTGAAGGCCATGCTGCTGGTCGGGACCGGCATCCACGTGAGTGTCTCCTCGATCGCCACCCCAATAAGGCGTCCCAGATGATGTAGTCGACGTTGTCGTGCTTGAAGACGATGTAGTACGTCCACAATGTCCGCCACACTGCCGTATACCAACTCACGGTTAACAGCATCTCGAACAACGTCTTCCGGCGAAAGGGACGTGGTGGTAGATGTAGTCGAGGTGCAAGGAACATCCTCCAATGTACAGGCATCCCAGTTGTCTTCAGCCAGACAGGAATCATGCTGGACCACGGCCATGCAAGGGATCGTGGTCGTTGAAGACGAAGTAGAAGCCAAATCCACCCCACTGAAAGAAGACCATAGCTGTACCAATGTATGCACATCACCCTCCCAATCCTCTTCAGGACAAAGCCACAGCGTAGAGGTCGTTGTCGTACTCGTAGTCGACTCCGCCAGTTCAGTCCATATACCCAAAAGGGCCCCATTGAGGGCCTCATCCACAGATCCATGGATAGGAACAGGCACTGGGGAAACTGGTCGAAGATGACGAGGAAGGTCCACAGGGATGGGAGGTGGTGGTCCATTTGGAGGTTCTTCCGGACGTGCAGGTAGAACACAGACAAGTTGCCCATGCTCATTCAGAGCGATGTCGCTGTGCAGGGACTGAGCTTGGCTGGAGGATGCATCAGATCCATCACTGCTGATCAACTCCCCACTGCGACTTCGGCTTCTGCTCCTCGAGCAAGCTGTACGACCAGGAGGTGTGGACGACGACGAAGCTGCATCTTCATTGCTGGCACTGGGCTCTTGTCGGACATTGGGCCGCGACGCCTCATCCGAGCCGGCATTTTCCGGGACCTCGTTGCCAACGGGTCCTTCACCTGCTTGGAGTCGTACTTGCAAGTTCCTATCAAAGCAGCTCACAAACGTCTCTACCAGGTTCCGAGCCCAGTTAAATAGCTGCCATCTTTGCATCTCGTTCACGGGGACCCTCTGCACTGGGAGGTATCCACGGGGAAGGAGGCGACGCACCAAGACTCCATACACGGTCTCAATCGTGGCAATGCCATCTTCCACACGCTCGAGCAGCCGTCCAAGAGCCCAGCGTGCTTCAGGCCCAAGGTCCTGATCATTGTGGGTGTCAAGGGCTTGTAGAAATTGTTCAAGACGATCGACCTCCGCACGAGGCAACCCAGCTTCCTGCAAAGTCGCCCTCTCACCCCCTGTCATCTGCATGAGCGAGACTGTGTCCTGAGATGGACTTGTCACTTGTGGATCAAGACCAAAGTTCGGGAGCAGCGGTCCGGTAGAAGATGAAGAAGTCGTTGAGGTAGTCGAGGTCCTATACCAAACATCCCACGTCTGCCAAGTGCTCCAGGAGGAAGACGAAGACCACTCAGAGGACCACGAAGAGGGAGCAGCAGTCCAGGCAGAAGACACCCCACTTTGGTTCCACCAATCGTGATGCCAAGATTGACCAGACCAAGGATCCCAATCTTGTGCATAATTCTCAGCAGCAGGTTCGGGTGTGTTTTCACCCCAGCCTGACGAAGTCTGGGTCACCACCGTGGCAGAGTCATCCACCAAGGTTCTGCCGGTGAATGCCGCCATGATCTTGGGGTCGACGAGCGGCTCTGAGTCCTTTCCATCAGCAGAGGCCGTAGAGCTAGCGAGTCGTCTGGCACGAGCTTCCTTTTCCTCCACATAACGAACGAGCCAGGCAGGCTTCCATGTGCCTTCCATGTAGGAGAGCATTCGTTGATGTTTGCGGGCAGCTCTCTGTGGTCCCATTCCGCCGCGATGCTGGCGTTGCTCTGCTTCTGACCTTTCACGGGCATGCCAAATGCCATGCCGCCAGAATCCAACGGACGCATTGGTGGCTGAGGAGTTGGGTCCAGAGCTCTCTTCGTCACCGCCAGAAGCAGAACTTCCCGCTGTTGTAGAAGCCTCTGGATTCAGGCTCCCTGGGTCGGACCAAACTTGGAAGCGATCTCCATAGAAGCTCGTGGCTTTGACCACAGGTTGACCTCCAACTTCACCCATACCATTGATAATGAAGGGCCGTGAGTTGTCATCCTGACCAGGGACCGGTGTGTCAGTAACAGCAGCCTCCCGTCTCTCTCGAGCGCGGTTGCGCACGGTTCCGTCTGGATGATGCCAGCGGTCCACCCCACAGCGAGGTCGTCCAAAGCGCGAGGTCTGACCTGTGCCCTGATCTGGGCTGCACGAGGAGGGCGAGGACGACGTAGAGGGAGTGTCGTTAGTCCTGGTCAGAAGGGATGCCGGGTCACGTCCAGGAAGTCCAACAGGTTGAAGGCCTCCCCGAAGAACACGCCTGTCACGGACCAAGTCCAACCAATCCACGGTCAGGTTAGCCACTGAGGGAAAGGCCTCCGTGGAGTCGGATACATCAGGGCCTTCCACCTCTTCGCCAAAGGGAAGAGGAAGATCTTCAGGTATTGGAGCAAGGCCACGAAAGTCAACCTCATCACCGTCGGCGGTAAGAACACCCGCGGTCAAGGCCCAACAAATTTCAGCATCGGTCTCAATCACGCCAGTAGAACCTCCAGGCGTGACAGGCACCCCCCAGGAAGTCGAACCAGATGGTGTCCACGAACTCGATGAAGATGAAGACGAGGGCCACGTCCACGGGGTCAAAGTACTCGATGCCGAGGAGCTCCACATCGTAGTTGGGCTGGTCCAGGAGGAAGAGGAGGAGGAGGAAGCCGAGGGCACATCAACCAAAGCAGGGTCGACCGAAGAGGAGAGGGTAGTGCCTGCCAAAGAAGAGTCATCCCAACCAGGAGCAGCTGCTTGTGTGGGTCCCAAGGAGTCGCCATCATCATTCCACACTGCAGCCATGTGAGCCGCAAATTCAGCTTGGGTCCAAGGTCGACGAGGGTCATCTCGAGGATCTTCTCCAGGACGGACACCTTCACCAGTAAGAATGGCCGCAAGCAGCACCAGAAAGCGCGAGGGGTGCAAAAGGTTCGCCATGACCATGGAAAGTCGACGAAGTCGGAGGGGCGTACGGTTTCACACCTAAGCCGAAGAGGCTCACGATTGACATAGTGAAAAATCATGACATCTGAAGGGCAAGAGCAAGATCTGCATGACATATGACATTTGGCTTCAGAAAGATACTGCAAATCAGCGTGAGAACATGGACCACAGCATGCAGGAAGAGCACCCTCACGGTGCGGATCTTCAACTCAAAGCCAGAGCTTCATTAATCCAACACAACGGAGAGGCACTCAACATCGAATAGAAAGTTGACGTCCGCTGGACCATCTCACATCCCAATCCTCGATATATTTTCTTCGCGACTGGGACCAACATGCACGATCTTGAGCTACAACGTGCCAAAGGGGGCCACAGCTGTGAGACAGTTGCCGCTCAACATTGGAGGCGTAGAACTGGCAGGGGTGACGCATGGAGGTGCTAGGGCTAAGACGTTGTTGTTCACGCCACCAGAAAGTGTTCCTCCACAGAACAGCCCTCATCGGAGCACTTGCCTTGACAACTCCTCTGACGACTTCATGGCGGCGTGACCAATGTCCATGTAGAGTATGTTGAAGTGTGAGCACTTTTTCGGACCACCGAGGGATCTTGTTCGTGCATAACCAAACTCTCACGAAGCGCATGGATCTTTGATTCCACTGAACCCAGTTTTCAGACGACAAACGTTTGAGGCCGAACGCAGATCTACACGTGTGTTGTTGCAAAACATTCAATGCATGCAGATCGTCCTTCGACCAATGGAGGGCTCCAGCGGTCCAGCTAAATTGTGATTCTACAAGAGTCCTCATGATCGAGACCTTGTGGAGCCATGCACCAGGAGCACAGAGAAGTTCTTTATGGGAGGCTGCAGCATCACGTGTCCTCCCAATCAGTTCCTTCGCTTGCTCCGAGGCGTCCCGCGACAACGAAAACGAGATGCCTAAAACTTTGAGCGATTCACCCTCAGAGGCAATGGAAAAGATATCATCCCCAACACTTGCACGACGCGGACCAGTGTAGTGTTCGTTGGCAACGATCTTCGTCTTCTCCTTGGCTAATGTGAGCCCGGCTTGCTGAAGACAACGATCAACTACCCCAATCCTTCTGCAAAGACGGCCAAAGTTGGTCTCGACGATGAAGATGTCATCCTGATAGAACAGAAGGTCAATATCGACGTCGGCAAGAGGAGGGCCAAGGTCACCCCAACGCTTGCAGAGCACAAGTTCGGAGAGGAGGGAGTCGACGACCAATCCAGGCAGCTCAGCGCTCTCAGGTGCCCCCTGTTTGATACCATTATCAGGACGAAGGCGAACCTGTTTTCCTCCAGGTGCATTGCCAACTATTTCATGAACAGCAAGTTGAGCAAGAAGATATCGTAGCTCACAACTCACCCCTTTGTGCCGGAGTCGAGACCGAAGTAGCTCCGCAACTTTCGCTCTATCAACTTTATCAAAAGCACCAGCGACATCGAGCTTGCACAAGATAAGTGGCTGGCACCATTCCTTCGTGACATCACGAAGTCGCGAAAGACAGCCAATAAGATCGGCGGCTTGGCGACCTTTACCACAGCAACTGATCTTGGACCCTTGTCTCATCAATGGGAGCGTCCTGGCACAGACCAAGCGGTTAACGAGCTTGTGAAAGGCAGAGGAAACACAAATCGGTCGCAGGTCGGATGGTTGGGCAGGGAGGCGACATTTCGCGAGGAGAGCAAGAAAGCTTCGCTCCCAACTGCTGGGCAGTTCTCTTGTCTTGACGATGTGGTTGACTAGGCTCAACAGGTTCGGCCCAACTACATCATGGTCAACACATTCCCGGAGGAGATGCACCCCAATGCCATCGGGCCCGACTGCGCTGCGACACTTCATCTCTTGTAACTCAACCCGCAAATCCAGCAGGGTGAACGGAACGAACTTGTCATCCTCGGCAGCATCTCGTATGAGACAAGCGAGTTGAGCTTCCCATTCATCGGCAGTCCTGCTACTGCAAGTCATCTTGCTTTCAAGATGGCTAGTGATCTCCTTGGCAAGATCGACAGAGCTATTCTCAGCAAGCATGTTCCCCCACCATCCACGTTGACGTTTACGTTCATTCTGAAGCTGACGATATTGATCCCAGTCACCATTGAGGATTTTGGAGAATCTCGCCTGAACCCAGGAACGTTTGTGAGCACGACGGAGCTTATGCACACGTTTCCACTCTCTGGCACACCCCGAAGCACGTGCCGCACAGATGGCACCTTTCACTTCATCGTCGTCCCTATATTGTTGCGAAGCTCGGGGTCGAGTGCACTGTTTTGCCAATGCAATGAGATCATCTTCATCCACAATCTCAATATCTGGGAGATCACTAACAACCCATCGTGGTCTTGAGTCATTTCCCCAGACAACCTTGGAAGGGCCACCAGCAACCATGATGTCACCCATGACAATGGCATGATCAGAGCCAATGGTGTGTCTACGTTCGGGTTCGATGCAGAGAGGACAGACATGAAGAAGCCTCGAAAAAATCATGTCGATCTGTCGACCCCTCCTTGTAGAATCTCGAGGGAAGTGGGAGGGAGTGTGTTGATCAGAAGGCCTAGGTGCCACCGGTCGAACTCCATGCTGAAGCATCTCATGCAACAAGGCCTCAAGGTTGTTAGAGTTCATCCCAATAGAGAGAGTCCCATTCTCATCAGGCTCCCAGTGAGGGACTTCGTTGGCATCTGCACCACAGAGGACTGGGAGATGCCGAAAACGACGAGGACAATGACGTGCAAATTCTTGTGCAGCCGCCTGATAGACAGCCGTCGTCACTCCGGTGTGACAATGAACACTTCCCAAGACCACCCGACCAAGGCCCCGGATCCTCGCAACCGCCCAAATGCCGCGCTCAGTCGCAACCTTCCATGTGATGGAATCAAACTTGTCCAAGGCGATACCAATCCCAGTTCCCCTCCATTGACGAGGATCCCGAAAAGTCACCCAGTGAAACTCATCAGTGTCAAAAGAACTCCACCCACCAGTATCACGTGCAATCTCCTGCGCAAACACAATGTCACAATCTTTACAAGCAACGTCCAGGAGATTAACATTTTGTCCGCCCAGATTCCAGGTACACGATCTTCCCCATCTGCATGTTGCACACGGACGAGCCGAAGGCACCCCACTTTCCTCAGGAACAGCAGAGTCACCCCGAACCTGGCGAAACGAATTCACGTCATCCTCGGTGAAACCTCCAGGCTGTTGTAGTCACAGCTCCCGTTCAAAGGCACTCTTGGAGTCATCCGTAGAGCACCCAGCAATTCTGGCCACAGCGGAGATATTCACCCAGCCGCCGAGCTTCTCACTCCCACACCAGATGGTTCCCATGTTCCAATCACAATCGTAGGAACTCATCTGGTCATTCACCCCTTGGTTCTGCTCCTGATTGTCTTTCGCCAGCACAATAGCCACTCTTCTGATCATGCTGACGTGGGCGCTTCGAAGGCGAGCGTTCTTGCTCTTGACGAATGATGCCCAAAGAGTCTTGGGCTCACCGGATGCCGCCGTGCTTGGCAGGGAGTGTTTGACTCGACCAAGAAGTCGGATGAACTCCCACATGCGTCCCTTCAAAGTTTGAAAGGATTCACCCTCGCGGAGCTTAAACCGGAGAAGACCAACCGAACGCCGAGGCCCAAAAATTTGAAGCTTATCACTGTCAATGAGATCCTTTGCTTCGGGCATCATCAGAATCACCCCTGCCTCTTCTTCGATGATGGAGCGCTTGGTATCTTGAAGCCACCCTCCAATGACAAGCGTTCGTTTGTCTTCATCTGAAAGGAAGTCACCTCTGTCATCTGACGAATTTCCCCCCTGCTGGCGAGTTGCATCCCTTTGATCACCCCCTGTGGGTCCAGGCATTTTCCGATTCTGCAGGTACTCGCTCCATGGATCACCCCCGAGAGGAACAGGCCCAACACTAGCACCTGGAGGGACATCACTTGGAGCCGGACGGGAGGCAAGTTCATCAATTTTGACCTGCATCTTCTTGACATCTGAGGTGAGCTCATCGAGGACTTTGGAATGCTGCTGAAGGCTTTGCTTATGTTGCCCGTGGTCCTTCTCGAGAACTCTAGTCCGGGTCTGAAGGTTCGAGATCTCAAAGCTACTTTTCTGTTGTTCCTTTTCCACACAGTCAAGACGCCCTTTGAACGAATCCCATGCCGTCCTCATCTCACAGACATGCCCGAGAAGTAATTCACGGATTTCTCGAGCAGTGAGAGGTTTCTCCTCGGAGAGAGAGGGCCGCTTAGAGGGACTATCCTCGTCATCAGAGTCGGGAACAGGACGAACACGGGGATCGCATCTAGACGACGACGCCACAGCCCTCTTTCTCTTTTCCAGCTTCGCAGGCATCTCAGCATCCTCCCCTTCATTCTCAGAGATCTCATCCTCGGCAAGTTCGGTGGGAGAGCCAACACGCTCGACTCCATCTTCATCATTCTCGACCTGCATGGCTGAGAGGAGCCCCGGTTGCGTCTCCATGTTGTCCGTCATGATGGCCACGACGAAGGTGAGGTCGAGGAGGCCAAGGAAGGAGATGAAGGAGAAGGAGATGATCGTGCCAATGCCCACAACGACCAAGCCAGGAGGTAGAAGAAGAGAAACTGAAGATCCCGTGCGAAACAGACGATCCAAAGTTCACAGTCCTCCCACTGCCAGTCAAGACCAAGACACCCCAGAGAGGGGAGCAGGTAGAATTTCACTCTCTCCTTCTCGCTGTTTTTCTGAACGGTCACCTTGGGCTGCAAGAACTCGCGGAGGTCACGAAAGCCGAAGTCACCCAACACCGTAACTGACCAGCGAGGAAGATCCGCAGGATCAGGTAAAAGAGGGAGTGCTGGTTCGACTCCACGGAGATCCCCAGGGGAGTCTCGAGCGCCAAAGGCACAAGCAGAGGAAGGAGCTGGGGCACTAGAACGAACGGAGCTGGCCACGCCTCGAGCACAACAGCTTGAGCCGTAGCCATTTTCTAGGGTTTTTAGTGTTTAGGGTTTAGGGCTTTGAGTGTTTAGGGTTTAGGGAGAACCGTTCTGAAGAGTTTGACTTGCGTTGGGTTTTCTGTCAAGCTCAGCTTCGTCAATATATGTCCCATGTAACCAGGCTGCCGACACCCCTAAACCCTAAAAACTAAGCATGCCTTAGCCCTGTACACTGTACCTGTAACATATATATATATATATATATATACATATGTATGTATATGTTATATACACGTATATCCATAAAGTAATAACGGTCTTACCATTCAACAAGTAAACCAAGGTCCTACATTTTCTGAAACTCTCATGTCCATTTAACCCCTGACAAGACTCGCTTTCAAACACACCGACAAGCCCTCAAACACCTTTCCAGATCTTGCACAATGCCCAACATGAGCCTAACAAGTATGCCCTATAAATCTCGCAGCTGACCCGCGGCCCCTTCACCAAGACCCGAATCTTGAAGCCTACACCCAAAGCTTCTTTAAGCTCCTGTTCTTGAGCCAAGCTTCATTGCGAGCTTGATGCACCGAGACACGCCGTCGCCCTGTTGGACATGCCGGCACTTCGGCAGTACACTGTGTGTGTCGGAATATGTGGGCTCCGGGGTTCAGTCTTTACAGCTGTTGCTGTCTGATGTAGCGTAGTACTGAGAAGCTTCGTGTGTCGCGAACTTCACTAGGCGTACGGCAGTGTTAATAATCCAAAAGACGTACAAGCAACCAAGAGCCGCATAGTGATGGCATGTAAAGTCAAAGACTCTATAGGACTCTAAGAGTTAATGACACGGCTATATAGACTGACTCAACTCCAACGGCCTCGAATGCTGAACTGCAAAAGCACCGGGACCTAAACCAACAAAACTCCAATAGGGCTTAATCATTACCTATACTATTGTGGGGCTCCCTTAATAGACTTATAGTAAAACTGACCCCCCAAAAAAACCCTATTCTAATCATTAAGGCCCGTATAATAGACCCCGAGCAGACTAATGGAATGCCTTCGGGTGCGGTGCTGTCATGTCGTAGGCGTCTGTCGTGTAGGCGCCTCCAAGATACCTCCGCCGTCCGATTGCATGGGTTCATTAAATGGGTTTAGGGTTTAAGGAATACCTGTGTCTCTAATAACCGGAACTAGTTTCAAGGTTGTCCTCAGGAAGGACACGTCTCAACCAACTGCCGTGTAGGGTTTGGGGCTATGCTTAAAAGCTCGGGGCTGCAGGAAATCATAATGCCCAACCTAAGCTCTTAAACCCATAGCATTACATGCTTGAAGATCAAACGCTTTCATCAGCCTGTATATCTGCACCGTGTAAGGCGGCCAAGCTAGCCATCCAAACCTCCTCCTCCTTTTGGTAGGGTTTAGGCCGAAGAGGGCAGGGCAGGGTAGAGCAGGAAGGGCGCAGCGGGCTGGAGCTTGGGGTTTAGAGTACTGACTTTACATAAATCATGGCACCAGTGTTGCTCCCCAGAACGCCGCCCACCCATGCCTTGAGATCAGGGTTAGGGTCTTACAACCTGAACTTCGAGCCCTACACCTTAAAGCCTAGCATCGTCGACTCAGCAAGGGATGTCCGAGCTGAGAAGAGAACCAGCCACCGAGCCCAACGTTTTCCGGGCGTGTGTCTCTGTGGCCTTTGCGGCCTGAGGAAAGCGTTTGAAGAAAGGAAAACTCCTGCTCCAGCTCGCTGGTTGCCACATAGATGGATAACATGAAACACTGTCTTTGATGTCTTTCACTGCAACTCAGCCAACGAAGATCCGGTGGCCTAGTCTCGCAAGAGCTGCTGCCGCTTCCGGACAAGCCCGCCTTTGACGCAGAGGGTTGAGCACTGCATTCTGGTGCCGCTTTTTGGCTTTTACTAGCCGAGCACGTAGGAAGGCCCACCCCTTTTTGGTCTTAAGCTTGATTGCTCCGGAAGCCTGCGGAGGTCCAGCTTTCGCTGGTGGGGCCTGCATTCCACAGTCCAACCGCGCAACCTGGTCCCAGTCAGGAGTCACTTCAACCTACTTGTCGGGTATCATGGGGAACTAAAGGCTAACCTTTTCGGTTATATCGGGACGATACTACCCTAAAAAGGTTGCCTACTCTACTAGGAAGGATGAACGGACCCTAAAAAAGCACCCTAAATAGTAGGATCCTTATTATAAGGACCGCCCAACTAAGACTTTGCCTTTCCGGTGATTGCAGGCCTTGCCCCAAAGCAATGCACCAAAGCGAAGCAAAGCTTAGAGTTAGGGTTTTGGGTTTATAGTTACTGGGGGTTAGGGTTTAGGTTTAGGGTTTTGGGTTTGGGTATTGGGGATTCGGGTCTAGGTTTAGTGTTTTGGGTTTTGGGTTGAATGGAGCATTTTGTAACAACTGCAGCTGCCATGCTCGTGCTAGGCTCATGAAGAGGCTAAGCCCTTAAGCGAAGGCTGACATTTCGACTGATTCTTGGTGCTACTCCGGCTCTTGCCACGTCTGCTTGAGCGGTTCTCCTTCCAGCCAAGATTTCCTAAAACTTAAACCCTAAAGCCGCAAACCTTAAACCCGCAACCCTATGCTTGTTGTGTCAAGTGCGGCCTTCATGGGAGTTTCCGAAAATTAAGGGAACCTTCTTTTGGGGGTCCTTATAATGAGGATCCTACTATTTAGGGTCCTACTATTTAGGGTAACTTGTTTAGGGTCCCCTAGTTTCGGAAACTCCTTCATGGTACTTTAGTGCATGGTGTATCTTGAAACTCGGGCCAAGGTGTTATGGAGTTTACTTGGAGGATCATGGGACTTAGTAAGTAAGGTTATAAATAAGGTAACTATACTTATAAGTACTTATAACCCCAATTACGGAACTTATAACCTAACTTACTAAGTCCCATGATCCTCCAAGTAGGGTTTATAAGGTTTATGGTGGCAGCCGCAAAGTTGGAAGATGCACACCCAAAATTTCCGCACCCCACAATTGGAATAGAACACATCTTCCAACTTTGGATTCTTCCAAGTTTGCAACCTTCCAACTCTTCATTACCGCATGAACCGCCCCAGATGCCGGGACGTAAAGTTGGAAGATGGGACCAAGCAGACCCAATATTTAATTGCAGTTTCTCCGTCTATCTCTCTCTACAATACTGGAGTAACTGCAATTTTTCTCCCTCTGCAATACTGGAGCGGCCATGGTATTTGCAGCTCCTCTCTTTCTGCAATATTGGAGCGGTCGTAGTAATTGAGTAACACCGGTCCTAGGTCCTAGGAATTGCAGTTTTTTCTCTCTGCAATATTGGTGTGGTCGTAGTATTTGCAGTTTTTCTCTCTGTGCAATACTGGAACAGTCGTAGTATTTGCAGCTTTTATCTCTCTGCAATACTGCAGTGGTAACTTTCTCTCTCTCTCTCTGCAATACTGGAGCGGTCGTGGTAATTGCAAATTCTCTCTGTCTGCAATACTGGAGCGGTCGTAGTATTTGCAGTCTCTCTCTCTCTGTCTCTCTCTCTTTGCAATCTTGGAGTGGTCGTAGTAATTGCCGTTTCCCTCTCTCAGCACTACTGGAGCGGTCGAAGTAGTTGCGGTTTCTTTCTCTGCATTACTGGAGCTGAATCCCACAAACCGAAAGTTGGAAGATACCGTTACTGCATCAGCCGGTCCAAACGCCGGGACCTAAAGTTGGAAGATGGGACCAAGCCAAACCCAAAGTTGGAAGATGCCGTTGCCGCATCAACCGTTCCAATTGCTGCCTTCCAACTTTCCGGCGGCTACTGTAGGGTTAAATGGTTTCGACTTTAGGGTTTCGACGTTTTGGGCTTTAGGGTTTACGGGCTCAAGGGTACGTAGCAGGAAAAGTAGCCTCAACTACGGCGGCTGCGTTACACTTCCGAATTATAAGCAGTTGATAAATCAAAATGGGCCCTCTAGAATCCCTAAACCCTAAACTCTCAAGCCTAAACCCTAAACCCTAGAATCCCTATAGTCGTAGTAAACCCTGCAAAGCCCAATCAAACCAGTCGAGGATTCATTGAAGGAGTCCCGTTACTTACCTTTGGTTAGTAGGGAATGGAAGAATGGTTCCGTAAAGGGATCTATAGGGCTCCTTAAAGGGATCTACAGGGGTTCCTTATAATGGGATCTATAGGGCATACTCTTGCCTGGTTAGTAGGGAATGGAAGAATGGTAGTAATTAATAGTAGTTATACTTGTACCCCATTCCTCCATTCCCTACTAACCAAAGGTAAGGTTAAGCACCATCAGGCTTCCAAGCATTGAAATGAGGAGAACAGAAGGCTTAGTGGCGATGGAGTCGGAGGCGGTATACATAGAAATCGGGTTAGGGTTTAGGGTACTGCTAACTGCGACATCTTGAGGAAGGCACTACGCACTGGTGTAGACAAAGAAGGCCTGGGGTATTTTCGGCTGAATAGTTGAAAACCTCCACACACCCTTAGAGCCTGTAATACCCGCAGACTGTTCCTAGCCATTTGAAATTGTCCTTCACTCCCTATTTACCCTAAACCTTCCAACCCCGGCGAACTCTCAGGCCCTTCACCCTCCTAAACCCTAAACCCTACTTGGAGGGTCGGGGGACTTAGTAACTGGTTATTTTCGGGACTTATAAGTACCATAACCCCAATTAGGGTCCCTTTTAGGGTACTTATAAGTCCACTTACTACCTACTTACTAAGTCCCCCGGCCCTCCAAGTAGACCCTATAGGGCACTCTGCGTAGATGGTGGCTCCCCGCTTTTTGGCATGCTCCAAGGACTCGGCGGGACAAAGGGTTGAAGCGCTCAGGAGGTGGAGGGTTCCGGGCTTCTGGGCTCAAGGCTTCGGGGGGTAAAGGGCCATAACTATAGGGTTCCTTAAAGGGCTCCTTAAAGGGATCTATAGGGTTCCTTAAAAGGGAACTATGGGGATTAGGGTTTAGGGTCTATAACTAGCCAGTGGTTTTGGGGGTTCCCTGGGCTCTTTAGCTCCTTATTCAATAGGGATTATCATCATCCCTGGCTCCTTAGCTCCCATAATGTCAACGGTTAGTTGACCCTGAATAACCTACCTTTTTTGGGTTCCTTATTATGATTTCCTTATACAAGTCCTTGAAAAGGTAGGTCCTTCACGGTTAAGTTAATCAGTTAATGGTTTGGGCGTAGGTTGAAACAGGGGGCTTCAGACGGCTTTAGCTCGAGTGCCGGGCATCAGAGCCTTATCACGAATCAAAACACCCCTACACACCGCCGTTGGCGCATTTAAGGTTTCGTGCGGCTCGAGGTTTTTAGGGATTGGTAAGAGGGTCTGAGTGGAATCAGGCTTCACGAACTATATTCCCGATGAAAGAAGTAGTTGCCATAGTCAAAAACTCAAACGAAAACAACCAATGTAGCTTGGGTGCTACATAGTAACAGTCTATAATGGGGCTACCATTGAGGCCATCAGAAATCTATATTATAAACCCCAAAAGGTCCAAGTAATAGTATAGCTATGGCACAAATATCTATTGAGTAGCTCGGGTACTTGGACCCTTTGGGAATTTTCTTCAACTGGAACCCTATTCTAACTATGAAAGCCCTTATACCACCTTATACCTAAGCCTCAAACCCTAAACGCTAAAGCCCTAAACAGCCCTCCCTCTAGAGAACCCTAAAGCTTTCAAGGAATATACCTTAATTCATATTAAGGATCCTATTATAATTTAAGGTATATTCCTGAATTAAGGGATTTTGGAAGGTCTGGGCCCTAAACCCTATAGATCCCTTAAAGGAGCCCTTATAGTACCCTTCAAAGGAACCCTAGGAACCCTAGGAAGGGATTTTGGAAGGTCTGGGGTGTAGTCCCTTGTTATAGCCTTCCTTCTGCCGGCTCGATCTCGAAGCTTTCCTCGACTAAGGCCTTAAGCAATTAGAATAGCTGCTAGGATACCCAGTAACCTAAGAATTAAAAAGCCCTCTCTTTTTGGTATTGGGTAACTTTATAAGGGACCTAGGACTACAAAAAGGGAATAAGGGTACTACTGGGCATCCTAGCTAGCGTTTTGGAGCATATTGTGGTTCTTTCAAGCCGATGACCCTGTCCCTGAACCTAGAGGTTTGTGGGCTAAGACGGTTTGTTCAAGGGCTACACTTCTTGACTTCTTGTCCGCATCCTTTGAAGGCTCTGGGCTGTAGGGTTTATGGAGGTTGAACTGCAAAGGCTTGCGGTACATGAGAGTTTCCGAAAACAGAGGACCCTAATATGGCACCCTAAATAGTAGGATCCTTATTATAAGGACCCCCAAAAGAAGGTTCCCCGAATTTTCGGAAGCTCTAAGCCCCTATGGAGCCCTTAAAAGGAAGCCTTCCCTTACAGAAACCCTTTACTACTATTTGCTTAAGAGCCCCCAAAAAATAAAAAATATATTCCTTATGGGGGTAAAATAGGGATTATTATTTTTTGTTTTTTGGGTGTTTCTTAAGCAAATAGTAGTTTAAAGGGACCCACAGGTTCCCCCTCATTTTCGGAGACTCCCACATGAGACGCGACGGAACTTGTGAACCTGGAGAAGACTGTGCAGAGGGAAGCATCTATCCCTTGGGATCAAAACAGCCCAGACCTTCCAAAATCCCTTAATTAAGGAATATACCCTAAATTATATTTAAGGATCCTATTATAATTTAAGGTATATTCCTTAATTTAGGGATTTTGGAAGGTCTGGGAGCCCAAAAGCCTTATATAGTATGGTCTTTGGTCCCGAAAGCCTTAATATATGAGTCCTTAGATCCCTAGGGTATGAAACTCGCAGCTTTTACACTTAACCTAGACAGACCTTAACCCGCACTCTGTAACTATCCAAAGTGCTTATGAAAGTCGTGAAACGAACACCCTATGCATCTTGCTCTATCCTACATGCCCAGCACCTCAGAACACTACCCCAGCACGCATCAAGTGTTCGCTCCAATCCGCGGCTGCCAGCGCGTCAAGAGAAACCCTTGTGGTTTCTGCCATGCGTGGCCTCAGATTCACAGTGCGAAGGGTTCAGAGCCGTGTCTAGGAGCTAGAAGAAGAGCCTAAAAAAAAGCTCCCAATTGGCTTCGTTAAGGACAACAAAAGGTAAGTGCACGTGAAGCAGACGCTTCCAGAAATCCGAAGCAGTCGAAGCATAACACACACGCGCAAAAAACAATACGATGTGTTCAGCTTGTAAACGCGGGCTTCGGGAGCAGCCAAGCCGGAAAGGGCTCACAAGCTCGGCTTGAAATATCATCGGTTACAACATACCCATACCTTAAACCCCAATTCCCTGAAACCCTAATTCCGTTAACCCTAAACCGTCAAATAATGAAGGGAAAGGGAAAGGGCCGTGACTTTCAAGGGTCGGTTCTTCGGTTGGAGTCCGACACCCTGCCTGTGCCGTGCGCGGCGGCGAATGCAAGAAGGGCGTCATCACCGCCTGAATCTCCGGGGTTTTGCAGCAAACGGCGTAATTTGGGTAGCTCTCTAAGTCGGGGTCCCTGTGTAGGTTCCCAGAATAGTACGGCACCCTGATGAAAAGGGCATTTACAGAACTACCCACATGGGGGCCACAATATTTGGAATAGGGTCTTGAAGCATATAGTCGTGCAGTTGCGGGGACCACAGGGAAAATTTGGTTCCAGCCAGATTAGATTGATTAGATTGTCTATATTACCTGAACTCCGTCTGCTAACTACAGCCAACGAAGCCCGCTATGATTTACAAGGGCTACTTGGAGAATCATCGGACTTAGTAAGTAGGGTTACAAGGTAAACATACTAATCACTTATAACCCCAACTAGACTACCCTAAGGCTCCAAAGTAGTTCCTTTTTGGGGTTCATATATAGAATCCTATAAGGTAATCCCCAAAAGGAACTACTATGGAGCCTCTGGGTACTTATAGGTCCCCAAACCCCAAGCCCCACTGTGGTTTACAAGGGCCAAACGACAAGGCCCCCCCAAAAAGCACATAAGCAAAAACATTGGATAGGGATATCCCATATAAAACCCCCTTCTAATGAAGCCCAATAGGGTAGGGTAGGGATATCCCTTAAAAGAGGCTTATTCTTATGTCCTTTTTGGGTCCCTAAGACTAGACCCCTACTCAGGGCACGTCGCAGGGTCTGGCTGCGGAAGCTTTGAGATTCAGTTAAGGTCTTTCAGGGTTCATGCGGTCCTGAGTTTAGGGCTTAATTAGGGCCTTTAGGGTTTAGGGTTAGGGTTTAGAGTTTTGGGTTATGGGTTTAGGCCTTCAGGGTTTAGGGTTTAGAGTTTAGGGATTGCGGATATAGTAGAAGCCAAACAGGTTTAGGGTTTGGAGCTATACCAGTTTTACGCGGAATAAGATAAGTGGAGCCTGTGATCGTGCTCGATCTCCTAAGGGCCCCAAACCCTGAACCCCCGAAATCCTCAAATAAAGCGGAATGATACTACTACCTGCAATGTTGGGACTCTGTGCCGTCTACTCTCTGGTCTCTCTCGCGCTCTGCCAGACTGCTACAATCTCCGCGGCTGGGTGTTAATTACCTCGGGAAACCCCTGGGGCATATAGGGTGGTTGTCAAAATTAGGGTCCCCTTTTGGTCCTTATTATAATACGGCACCTAAAATTCAGGGTGCCCAAAAAGGGACCATCATTTTGACAACCACCCATATAGGGTTTAGGGATTCCTCCTGCCTTGCATTCACGTAGTTCAGGTATGCAAGTAAGTGCTGCTTGGGATAATCGCTGTCGGTTCAGGGCCCGCAAGGCAGCGATAAGAAACCCTAAACCGTAAACCGCCTCTACAACATTCGTGGATGGATCGGAAGCCCATCTGCGATCTGCGATGTTGAAGCAGTGAGAGCTCAGGCTGCGAGACTTGGCAATGAAACTATATCAAACTACCCTGAGGCTCCAAAGTAGTTCCTTTTTGGGGTTCATATATAGAACCCTATAAGGTAATCCCAAAAAGGATGGAGCCTCTGGGTAGGCTGAATTATTTTAAGCTTCATGACTGAACACTGTTTTTCTTGGATTGAGCATCGAAGGGACGTCACACTGTGTCCATTTGTTGGACCCGAAGCAGGAGATACAGCCATCGACAGTCACGGCACAAGTATGCGCAAGACCCACCTCAACTGCCACGACGGCGCCTAAATCGTCGGGAACGTCGCACTGTCCTCCGTCATTCCGGCCGAAGCAGACGAGCTGGCCATCTGCACGAATTGCACATGTGTGGAAAGTACCTGCAGTGACATCCACAAATGGCCCATGATCGTCGGGAATATTGCACTGGCCGTGGTCATTTTCTCCAAAGCACAGTAAGGAACCATCGGTTCCTATAGTACAGGTGTAGTCATACCCAGCTGAAACGGCGAGGATGAATTCCAAACCTGCCGGTATCGGCCTTTGGCCACCTAGGATACCCAGTAACCTAAGAATAAAAAGGCCTCTCTTTTTGGTATTGGGTAACTTTATAAGGGACCTAGGACTACAAAAAGAGAATAAGGGTACTACTGGGCATCCTAGCCACCATGTGCGCCAAAGCAGAAGAAACTCCCATCTCGTCGGATTGCACATGTGTGCCTCGCACCGGCAGAGACATCTACGACGGCTCCGGCATCTTCGGGAACTTGAGAAAACCGCCGAGAGCCAAAGCAGACAAGCTCGCCGACCAGTGTCACGACACAGGTGTGTGAGTCGCCAGTCGCAACTGCAGTCACAGGGCCTAAATCATCTGGGACATCGCACTGTCCATCCTTGTTCCAGCCGAAGCACCAAAGTTGTCCGTCATCCTCTACGCGATTCTTGGGTTGGGGGTGTGCAGGGTGTTTCGGATTTGAGGGACATTCCGGATCGATAACGAAAAGATATCAGTGAGTTTCAGAGATTAGGAGTCTAGGGTTTTATTTAGAGTTTACCTTAACCCTGAATAACCTACCTTTCTAGGGTTCCTTCTTATGATTTCTTTATACAAGTCCTTAAAAAGGTCGGATATTCCGGGATAGGGTAGGCTTTAGGATCCTGGATGGCGCAGGTGTGGCGACTTCCAGTTGACACGGCCACAACCGGAGGCAGCTCTCCCGGGATATCGCGAGCACTCGATTTTCGAGCACCGAAACCTGGATATGTTCGGGCTCCTTCAAGGGATCTATAAGGGCTCCTTTGAGGGTTTAAGATTTAAGATACCAAAAAACGGATCTATAGTGACTAATGGGGTATCCCTATTATGGTAACTTATTAAACTAATAAAAGCCTTTAACAAGAACCCAGGAAACGCACCAGCCGCCCACTTGCTCCCACCGCATACCTGTTCTTTGGACATAGGAGCTCGCCATCGGCTTTCGGGTTCGTTTGGGGCTTAACGTTGTGGGTATAGGGCCGACTACTTGAAGGATCATGGGACTTAGTAAGTGGGGTTATAACTAAGGTAACTATACTTAGAAGTACCTATAATCCCATTTAAGGCAATTATAACCATACTTATTAAGTCTCATGATCCTCCAAGTAATATTCTATGCTATCTCAATCAAAACCCCGGCTATGCCGGTCTGATTGTTCAGGCCGCCGTGGTAGAGCTGCTACACTGCTAGTGTGTGCACAGTCTTTTCCCTGGGTCCTCTTGGTCTCAGAATTCTTGACTGTTGAAACAGCCGTAGTCCTGATACTAACCTGAACAGCTATGGAGATAATATGATGAAATAATGGTGCCGCACGAAGTACGTGTGGTGGTCACTTGCCGAGATATCAAGCACTGCAGCATCGATGTCCCTGGGAATGGTCTGCAACAAGAGCGCTAGACCTTGCAACAGCGCGTGTCCACCCGCAGACGCGACGGCTCGCCTGGCAGCACAACCCTAAGCCTAAAACTCCCACTCTATACCCTAAACCCTGTAGAACCCAAACCTTAAACTTAACCCCTAAACCCGAAAAAGAATTGTCTTGCTTGGCGTCCGACAGTTGGCACGCTTCTATCAGGGCTCGAAGGGAGGTTTATGAAGACCTTATATGTACAGCAATCACTATGCCTCATGAACCCTAGAATCACTTGCCTAAACAAACCCCGCCCGAATGCACAAACCATGGAACTTAACGCTAAAACCTCAAACAGTTCCAAGAACCCGGATACCAACAAAACCAACCCCAGAACCACCAAATTCGCAGTCCGCCCCCAAGACCCCACTCCACTCCCTAAACCCTAAACCCTAAACCCTAAACCTGAACCCTGAACCCTAAACCCTAAACCCCAAACCCCAAACCCTAAACCCTAAAACCTAAACCCTAAACCCTGACCTCGGAGGAACAGATAGACGGGTCATGCGGCCCTTGCCCGGCACCCCCCGGAGCCGGTGTAGGCCGTTCATGGCTGCATATATGGGTTATGAGTACCTGGACCCTAAGGAACCTACTTTTTTAGGGCTCCCTAATATGATTTCTTTATATAAGTCCTTAAAAAGGTAAGTTACTTGGGGTTATAAGTATATATAGTTACTCTACTTAGAACCCTACTTATAACTACCCATGAACCTCCGAGTATGGTGGATGTCCTGGAGCTTCTCTCTGTAAAGATGCACAAAGCGTAGTGTTGATGAGGTCTGTCTTTTTTTGGGGCGGGGCAGGCTTTTGGGGTGGGTAGGTTTTTTGTTGAGAGCTCTTTTCCGTCTGCACGCAGACACGGCCTACGGAAGCCTAGATAGGTTTAGGCTTTAGGGTTGTTCGGGTTTGAGGTTTGGGGTTTGATGGGTCGGGGCACGGGTGGAGACTGTGGGCTTAGAGCTTCGGGTGTGGTGGCTGCGTGGTTATGAAGGCCTCTATGGGCATGCATTGATTTTGAAATGCTCATGGTACTGTGAAGGAGCTTCGTAGGATCTGTCCATGGCTTTGCAGGGCTCTTGCTTGCATCCTTCAAAAATAGGGTTTAGGGCTTCACGGTTTAGGGTTTAGAGCCCTGAGGCAGGATGTTTGCCGGCCGCTCTGCATGTTCTCCACAGAGCTTTGGCAAAACCCTGAACCCTCCGCCCATCAAAACCCTTCACCCTTAAGCTTTCGGTGGGATTCACCAAAACTCGAACCAAGAGCCTCCCCCCAAGCCCACTGCAGGTGCTCTGTGGCCCTGAACCCCCTCAAACCCTGTTAGGATTCCGCTCTTGGGTTTGGGGCCTAAGATTTCAAGATTTAGGGTTCTAAAGCTTAGGGTTTCATGGTTTAGGGTGTTAGGGTTTTAGATTGTAGGGGTTTTGTTTCGAGCTCACCCTGGAAACCCAAGGAAAATCCCTAAACCATAAACCTAAAAGTAGGGCTCCTTGAGACTACCGTGACTCTGTTGTCTCAGGGAAAACCCTTTGGAAATGTTCGAAAGCCAACGAACCCAAAGACCATCAGCAATAACAATCTCATCATTCATCTACTCACTGAATACCCATACGGGGAATACTTGCCCCAACCATAATAGCAAGTCTTACTATAATAGAAACCCTACTTTTATTATGTAGGAACTGCTGTAAGTGAATGAAACTACAACCAACTGGGCTTCGGGTCAGAAACGTACACCTCTGCACCCCTTACCCCCTACAACCCTCTTCCTGATTGAAGCTGTTTTGGTGTACCACAGTTCGTGATAGAATGGAAAACAGGTTGATGAAACATAGATGAAACTACAGTTTCACAGAGCTACACAGTATAGAGTGATACAGGGGTTTTAAGTTGTGGCCACAAGAACTTGGCAGAATGTGATACTACGACTAGAATGAAGCACCCAATGAAGTAACATTATCTAATGCTTCTAGGCCCAAGAGTAACCAAGGAATAAAAAGGGTGCCCTTTTTGGTTTAAAGGGGCTTATAAGGGAACCTGATCCCTTAAAAAGGGAGTAAGGGCCTACTCTGGGTCCTAGGCTTCTACAGTACTGTATCAGAAGTCGAGGCTTCAGTTCTAGTCGAATCTGATCAGTTTACGGCTGTGGCGTGATACTAGTGATTTTAAGGGTCAGAAGCCAGTAGTTCATAAGGGTTTAGTGCTAGTTGCTTGCCTTTCAAAAATTTTGAAAGGCAAGCAACTAGCACTAAACCCTTATGAACTACTGGCTTCTGACCCTTCAGCTTGAGGTACAACAACCGCATATACTCAGTTTAGAAGTACTCGGAGCCGCAGCGCAAGAAGCTTTTCGAAAGAAAGAGATCAGAAATGCCGGCGCCTCTTCAAGTCTTGCAAACCCTCCACACTAAGAGCCTGCCGCACCAGGCGCGCAATCTCCAAGTGTCCCTGGTGACACGCCACCTTCCTGAAAATTGTGAAGTAAGCAGGGAAAAAGAACATAAACTCATGTTTCATAATGGTTCCCTTAAGGAGCAGGTCAAAAGCAAAGTAATAAAGCATGGTACTCCACAACCCAGCTTCAAAGGTGTAATGCCGCCGGAATCAGCCCTGTCCGCAACAGCTTTGGCCTCCAGCAACAGCCGCACAACCTCCAAGTGACCACCGTCACAAGCCAGGATCAAAGGAGTTGTGCCAGTTTTATCGGCCTGGTCAACACGAGCTCCAGCTTCCACCAGCAGGCGCACAACATCCCAGTGGCAACCCTGTGAGGCCAGATGCAGCGCGGTGCTGCCATCTTCAGCCATCTTCTCCAGGTTTGCCCTGAACCTGGGTTCTTGTCAAGCGGCTTTGGGTTTAGGGATTCAGGGAATATAGGGTTTAGGGTTGAACTTAAATTAAATTGAAAATTTAAACTACCGTAATAAAGAAACCGTACTAGTTACTATGGATCCCTGTTATGGAAACCAAAATTAGACTCCTTAACAAGAGCCCAGGAGCTCGAGCAGCAGGCCGGCTACCTGCAACCGACCTGGCAGACAAAGGAATTCAGGAGCCCGGATCTTAGCCCCATATACGTGGTCGTCAAAATTATGGTCCCTTTTCGGGTCCTCATTATAATACGGCACCCATACGTGCACCCATTATTATTATTATGATTATTATTATTATTATGATTATTATTATGATGATGATGATTATTATTATTACTATTATTATTATTACTCAAAAAGGGACCATAATTTTGACAACTACCCATATAGTACTCAGAGGCTCATACCCTACCCCCTGTTTAGGCTACCTAGTCTCGTGGCTAGGATCTGTGATATAGAAAAGTAGATGCACAAAAAAAGGAGTACGAGCCTACAGGTGGGATCTTGTGTAGGAGGAAGGTAACCTCAAGTTGAAGAACCCCAATGAAGGAGAAAAATCAAACCTGCAACACCGCAATTAGGGTAGCGCTTAAGTCCGCCTAGTTTGCGTTCAAGAACACCGCCAACACCGCAGCGACAAGGTACCCCTAACGTTGATCCATTAATTTCAACAGCCCTAAACCCTAAACCCCTAAACCCCAACCCACAGGGCCCTGCCTTTACGACAAGCCAACATCAAGGGGGTGGCAGAATCATGCTGCCTGGATTTGTCCACGACAGCCTCGGCCTCAAGCAAGAGTTGCGTAACCTCAGCCGCTCCCAGGGCCTTACCCAGACCTTCCAAAATCCCTTAATTAAGGAATATACCTTAATTCATATTAGGGATCCTATTATGAATTAAGGTATATTCCTTAGTTAAAAGATTTTGGAAGGTCTGGGTACCTCTTAGGCCCTGAAAAAGAGGCTCATACCTACCCCTTTTTATAAGGGCTCCTCTAAGGGATCTCCAAGGCTTCCTTTAAGGGATCCATAGGGGCCTGGTGTCTAGGGCAAAGGGTTAAGGGTTTACCTGGACCCTAACCTCCCTTGTTAGGGTTCCCTAATATGATTTCTTTATATAAGTCCTTAACAAGGGAGGTTACTTGGGGTTAAGGTAGACCCTGATATAAAAAGTAGCACCTTTTACTGGGTGATTTATATTTTTATGATAGGATCCTAAACTAAGAAACCAAGGTAACCGACAAGTGGTACTTTTCGGTCTAGGTGGGGCTCTAGCTTTCTAATGTCTAGCTTATCGTGCCAACCCCCCGCACCCAAGAAATTGGGAAAGGAACTTAAAAGCACACCGTCTTGAGGGTAATTACTCCCCCCTTTCCCTTTGTTTAAGGCACCCCTGATTCTACCTAGAGGCTCATACCCTGCCCTTTCTACTGTAGGGCCATACTAATTAGAAAAGGGTTGATTCAAAGGGATCCTTAAAGGGTTCCTTTAAAGGGATCTATAGTATGGTTCTTCAATATAGCGGCCTTAAGAATTCGAATAGGCTTTTGGGGCCCATGATACGATAATTATATTAAGGACCCCCCCCCAAAAAAAGAAAAATGGGATTGGTAATTGTTTAGGCCCCTATATAATCTATACTAACCAAAGCTAAACCTTCTCAAGAACGGCCCAGTAACCTGCAAGTGGCCATAGTGGCATGCGAGATGCAGCGGCGTCACATCATCGAGATCGGCCTTATCTACGTCGGCCTTTGCCCGAAGCAACAGGCGCGCTACCTGAAAGTGGCCGTTCTGGCAAGCGAGTATCAGGGGGGTGGCATCATTGAATACAGTGTTCTCGGAAATATTCGCATCGGCACCGGCTTCCACCAACAGGCGAGCAACTTCAAGGTGGCCGTTGTCAGCTGCAAAGAGCAAGGGGGCTGGATTGCCCAAATTTGGGTCTTGTGGGCGTTGCAGCAGCAGCTCCACTGTAGAAGTCATACCACTTCTTGCGGCGTCCACCAGCTCAGCAGCCTGCGACGCGGATGTGGGGCAGAAGGCCAGAAGTACGAGTTGAACCGCACTGGGTCTCAACATGTCATGGTCATCTAATAGAGTGCCGTCTTCATGCACGAGCCTTTGCCGGAATCGCGGAAGCCCACAGAAACTCTCCAGACGCCGCTTGAGTTCATGAACTTGCAGATGCTTCTGAAATTCGGTTTCCTGTACCTTTGCCTCGACAGGAAAAGCGGCAACTTCCTGACCGGATATATTCCAAATGTGCAGCATCGCTCTCGCCACTGTGCATCAAATTCCAACTTGATTGTTGTCTGCTTCTTCAAACGGAAGCCCGTGTCGAAAAATGAGGGCCCCAGACTTCAGTTACTAGCCGTTCTACTAGCCATACATGTGTGTGTGTATATATATATATATATATATACATATATAATATATACATATACATAGGTATCTTTGTAAATGTATATGTATTCTTGTCTAGTTGGGTGTGGCCATGACACCGCCTATGCGACTTTGTATTTGCACATCGATGCTGGTTGCGTTGACTCTAACTATACATCCTAACTAGATACACATACTCATACACGGGCATATAGATCGACTGCTTCGTTAAAGCACGTCATCATCACCCGAAGCAGTCTGAGCCCAAGCGCACATCTGGATTTCAGGGTCCTACCGACAGCAGAGTGCAGAACAAAACTGGAATTTGCAGAAGTTGTGCCAGTCGATCTATGTTTTCGTGTCCACGGAGTACGCAAGTCGTTCTTGGGCGTACTATCGCTGACCGACGGTACATTCAAACCCCAAGCAGTTCATGTGCCTTGTTTGCGTGCTCGACAGTTAAGAGTTTAGGAGGGGCTCGACTATAAAATCCGACCTTACAGCCTTAACCATACAACAAACCAAGTCCACACCCTCCAGCGCCACCGTATGGAACCCTTGACGGAACCCTTGCAGGAAGCCTTCAAGGAATCCCAGACGAGGCCTTAAAGAACCCTGAAAGGAACTCCTAAAGTCCTAAAGGAACCCGCATATGGGAGCTTCCGAAATTCGGGGGTACCCTATTTAGGGGTCCTTATATTAAGGAACCTACTATTTAGGGTACTATACTAGGGTCCCCTGTTTTCCGAAACTCTCATGTGAACCCTTCAAGGAACCCTAATTTATAGGAACCCTTCAGGGAACCCTTTAACCCCGAACCTGGGCAGCTGCACCATTGCACCCCCCGGTAGAGTTGGGGCCTGGAGGCGCGCACAGCCGCCACCAGAGCCGGATAGTCGCAGAGTCCTACATCTCCGGTGCGTCAAAGGGGAAAAGGAGGGACTCCTACCCTATAATGGGTATATAATCGCTATATTTTAAGGGTATATACCTAGGGGTCCTTATTAAGGGTCCCTCCATTTCCCCTTTGAGGTGTAGGCTTTAACAATGCTATTGCTATCATAGTTGGTGCTGGCACTGAAACGCTGCTGCTTCCGTCACTGCTACTGCTTATGCTATTGCCATTGCTAGTGCTACTGCTGCTGCCACTGCTCATGTTACAGCTACTGGTTATGCTACTGCTACTGCTGCGGCCAATACCACAACGACGACTACTACCACGACGACGACTACGACTACCGCCAGAAACGGAAGAACGTACGAACTGCAAAACGAGCATCACGACAAGGGTCTACGCAGCATCCAACAAATCTGATGATTGGAGACTGCCCCCATTCATGGTCATTACCAGTAGTAGTTTAGGGTTTAGGGTTTCGAGTAGCTTGTGGAGCCCCTTCAAAAACGGAGCATAACCGGCCTCGAAAAGAAACACAACACGGAAAAACCAAAACCCTAAACCCTAAACCCTGAACCCTAAACCCCTAAACTCCTAAGCCCTAAACTCCTAAACCCTAAACCCCTTAACTAAAGGAAACCTTAACCGTAAACCCTAATCCCTGTCCAAGTTGTCAAGGCGGGGTCCAAGAACCCTGAGAGCTCCGTTAAAGGGTTCCTTTAAACGGATCCTTAAAGGGTTCCCCTAAAGGGATCTATAGTTAGGGTTCTATAGCGTAGGGGCCTTAATAAATAAAACAGTGGTTTTTGGGGCCAATCATACAGTGAAAATACTGTATAAGAACCCACTGTTTAAGAACCTGAGCCCCCACCCAAGGCGGAATTCACCAGATTCAAGTTGCCTCAATGACTCAATATTAAGAACCTTAGGGTACCCTAGTGTTTTGGGTCAGGTTCTTATTTTTTTGGGTGCTTTCCCTCACCAAGGAAATTTAGAATCGAAAACTAAATTTCCCAACCCTCCACATCAAGAAACCCTCTGCCCGAACATGATGGTATGATGGCTGCGCAACAGCAGGCATGCCACAGCGCAGTGGTTGTGCATAGGTTCTGGAGACAAGAGCTCTTGTTTCGAACCCCATTGGTGTCATGCACTGAAAATTTAGAATTGAAATCTAAATTTTCCAGCATCCTGCCTGCCTGGGTTTGGGAGTGCCACCAAACCGTGGAAATTTAGAATTGAACAATAAATTTTCCACACCAGCCTCCTCCTGGCCCTGTGGTCCCAAACCCAAGGCTCCGACCCACACCGATGGCATCAGGAAATTTAGAATCCAAAAGTAAATTTCCAGCCCTTCCTCCCGACCCCCAAAAACCCCTGGCCCACAAAGAAAGGACACCGACCCACGCCAGGACAGCACCCCCTAGCGCAGTGGTTCCGCGTAGGTCCCTATGCTGAAAGCCTTTGTTTCATTCCCCGGCGGTGTCATGCCGCTGCGGGCGCAGCTCCTATTCCACCGAAACAGAGCCCCTTGCCACCAACCCGTGGAAATTTAGAATTGAAAAACAAATTTCCACACCAGCCTCCTCCTGGCCCTGTGGTCCTTGGCCCCAGCCACGCCCCCGGCACCAGGAAATTTAGAATCCAAAAATACATTTTCTGGAGGGCCCCTGGCCATGCCCTCCGCCCCGAGTCCTTTCGACGAGGTGTGGAAATTTAGAATTGAAAACTAAATTTTCCAGACCCCCATGGCCCACCGCCCCTCCCACAAGGAAATTTAGAATCCAAAAGTAAATTTCCTGAGAGCCCTCGGTCAAGGTACCGGATAAGAACGTGGTTAAGAACCTGAGCCTATCCTAGCCACTCGAACGGCAAAATCACATGTAATGGAAACTAAGAACCTTAGGGTACCCTACTCTCGCCGAACGGGGTTCTTATACAGGGTTTTCACTGTACTATAACTATAACAAGGAACTTTCCAAAATAGTATTGGTAATGATTTCGGCCCCGCCTTTATTACCTCATTTTCTACTTTGGGCTGGGTTTGGCCTGTCTCGGCTTCCACAACTTCTCGCCAACGCCGTTGCAGGAAGGCCTCAACAGGTCTGAGTACAGAGGGAGCTGCGGAACATCCAAACACTAGCAGTCAAAGCTCACATCCCTGTAACGAGCAGGCCTCTATACTTTACGCGACTCTGGCATTTCAGTCTCGAACCTCAACTTTTCTGCGCTTGCTCGACAAAAGTAAGGGTTCGCGATAGTGCACACTACTTATATCTTGTCATTACACAGAAGCATCGGTATTGTAGCTCTGTTTTAAGATTTGAGCGGGCCCATCTTGCCACAAACCGGGAAAAGCCGAACCTAAACACTAAACCGCCAAAGGACCCAAAACATTGGCATTTAGGGTGCTCGAGCCGGAATCTAATACTGTCTAGGGTTTATGGGTTTTTGAAGGCTAGGATTCAGGGTGTAGAGGTTTAGGGTCAATTATTGCCCTCAGAAGCGTAGCAGCCAAAACCTTAAACCGTTAACCTCAGAGCCAAACACACCCAATCCTCACACGTGCAACCCAAATACCCCGCGAAACCCTGAAAGTCGAAGTTGCAGCCCTGCACCCGCACCCGTGTGCGCCTTTGCAGCTTCGTCGAGGACTGGGATAAGGAAGTTGGAACACGGCTTGCAAATGGAATAAAATTGTGGCCTGAATGATTGCAACAGGGTTCGGGGTTTGTTGTAGTATAGCAGTACGCAGTGGTTTAAGCCCTATAAACTCAACTTCTTCATTAGAACACGAGGGTTAGGGTTTTGGGTTTAGGATTTCGAGTTTTGGGTTCAGGATATGCAGATGGATATAGTACGTCCTTCGGCTGGCCCACAAGTAGATGCTAGCTTTCCGTGGGGTCTAGGGTTTAGCTTCAGGGTTTACCAGACGAAGTAAGTAAAGGATGTCTACCCAGCTGAAAAGATTCTTTCTTCTCTTTCTTCTGAGACCCTTCTCAGGGAAACGTTCGCAAGAGGTGGTCGAACATGTGCGTACATGAGTCGCGGTCAGGCGCCCTGCCCTGACCCCTTCGTGATCAGGAGCGCGCACGCCCACGCCAGGAGCTAGCCTTCTAGCACATGTATGCATAGGAAGCATAAGCAAACAAACAGATGGCACAACTATGTCAATGGTTTGATGAATTGAATGATGTCCCATGTTACAAAAACCCCTTGCTGAACTAATGGGCCCAAAAGTAAACCCTATAACGCCATGAAAAGAAGCCTCGCAAACTGCTCCTAAACCAGGCATGTTAAATCCTGATAACACCTATATACAACCCTATGATATACCGCAAAACTCTATGCCCCTGTATTGTAGAACCCGTGTCATAACCATTGCAGTAAGGCTTTAACGAACGGCCTTGTCCTTTTTAGGGAAATAGACAGGGCCCTTTACCCTAGTCCCTTAATAAGAAGCCCTTAAAGAAGGTACCTTAACCGATCTGTCTATTCTTTATTAGGGGACCATAACAAAGGACAACAGTGTTAACGAAGCTTAACCCCACAACTTTGGCCCCAAACCCCTGAACTCCAAACTGGAAACCCTGTCACCTTGAAGCCCTAAGCCCTACCTTAGCCCGGAATATCCTACCCTTTTTAAGGACTTATATAAGGAAATCATAACAAGGAACCCTCAAAAAGGTAGGTTGCAGGTTTAAGGTAAACCCTAAACCCCTAACCCCTAAACCCTAAACCCCTGAACCCTAAACCCTAAACCGGAAATTTGCAAACTCGCCGCCGGCCTTCCGTCGACGGCTCCTTGTGCACGCGCGCGGCCGGGGCGAAGCTCGCCGCTCCGTTTGGTGCCCGGCCGAGGCGCCTCTCTTTGCATCTTTCTGCCGTGTGTGTGTGTGTACCCAGACTTTCCAAATCCCTTAATTAAGGAATATACCTTAAATTATAATAGGATCCCTAATATGATTCAAGGAATATTCCTTAATTAAGGGAT